ATGCAAATATCAGAGTGCGGAATGGAAACACATAACCATACTTATTCCATATAAAATTAAAAGCGTTAAAACGTCAATACAAAATAAATAACACTAAACATTATTTAATGTAATCCCAAAAATATTAACTAATCATAAATAAAAACATAATTTATGCCGCATCATAAGCCCAGTCATAATGTGGTTGTGGTTCCTCTAGCCATTGTGTACTTAGTGCTTCATCGAAATCATAATGTGGAAAAGCTTCTATTAATAATTTCATAGCCTCAGTCCATAGGCCTCTATCTGTTAGATCCTTTAGTTTCTCTTCCCAGGTAGGTGGAGTTTCTTCTTCTTTACGTACCAGTCTCTTACCCTTTCTTTCCCACATAACTTTCTTATTACTTTCTTTCATCTTTTCCTGAAATGGGTGGTCAAGGGGGGTGAGATTTTGGGGAAAATCTCAGTAAGGTTCACAGCTGGAGCATTCTCCAACTATGACGCTTACTCCTGCAATAGTTTATAATAACAATACAAAATGGAACATTTAACATCATCATATAAAAATATCATGCCATCATCATCATCATCATATTCCTGCCGGCTTTTACGGACTTACGGAGATACCCAGAGTCCTCGTCAGGTTGCAACTGGAGTATCAGTGCACAGGCCAACATTTAATAGCATGGTTTTAAGTTTCAAAAATATCATAATCACATAATGTAAAGCACTATAAACATATTGCAGTCAGACCATAACTTATCATAGTTTCATAATGGTGGCATACATAGAGAGATTACTTCAACAACTGTAAACACTTACAGTACTTGTCGTTCTTTACTTGTATACTTTCAACTTTTGATCTCTTTACTTGCCTGTTTGCTCCCTTGACTCCCTAACATCATCATATCATCTTTTAGTAACTTATATAACATTCAACATTTGTGTTTTATCCATGTATAGGTCTCGGCTTTGCAGGTTTAATTACCTAGAGGAGTTGTTTTGCTTACTTACCCACTTGTGTAAGTTTTAGGACATTATTAGGTCATCATAACACTTGATAGAATTATTAAAGATTTCATTCTAGGCATGTATAGGTTCGGCCAACTAAGGTTATGATCATGCAAAATTGATTTAGAACCTAGGCTACTAAACATGCTAATCTAACATCATCTTTTCATCATCTTTCATATCATTTAAACATCTCTTCATGCTTATAATTATCATACATGGTTCGGCCTTCTAGGGATCATATACTTAGGATATCACTTTCGTGCTTTTACATGTCATTCCTAACCAAGAAGGTTCATAGGCTTACCTTTGATGATGATCAACGACTTAAGGAAACACTTCTTGACCTTTGACTACTTTGAATCTTCTTGAATGAACTTCCTTCCTTCTTGAACATACAAGGCCGCAAGCTTAAAGAGAGGAGAAGAGGGATTTTCTTGCTTAGAGATGAAGGGTTCTTTGGTGGAATTATTAGGAAGAAGGACTAAGATCCAGGCTTGTATTTGATCTTGGAACAATTAGGTATTTCTCACTAACACACTCACCATTTCGAAGCATTCATGGACTTCACAAAATGAACTAAACTCTTTGTTCTTTCCTTTGGTAGTGCCGCGGCTATAGAGGGAAAAAGGAGAGACTAAAGCTTGTTCAAATAGGCAACCTAGAAGCCTTGCCATTACTTGATTGCTGGTAGGTTTCGATCACATTAAATGAGAGTAAGGTGGTGATTTGTTGTCATAGGTTAGATTGCTTAATTTAGGGACAAGAACATGATGTCAATTTCCTTGATTAAGGAAATTTAGTGATTGCTTGATTTAAGGAATTGATGATGTGTGACTATTCGTCATTAAAAGTTGCTTCCTTGATTTAAGAAACAGAATTATTTGATTGATTGACATATTGTCATCAATTTGCTTGATTTAGGGAAAGTGATTGACTACTAATCATCATAATCCTAACTTCCTTGTTTAAAGGAATTTGACTGGCTTGACTTAAGGAAATTCGATTTGCATTTAATGGCTTGAAAATCAAATAAAATCAAATTCATTTCCTACACCTAGGCCGCGGATTTTAAATGCTTGGAAGGAAAAGATTTCCTTTAATTTTGGACCATGATTTATTCCTTAAGATTATGGACCTTTAACCTATTAACCTGACCTAATTTGTGCCTATTTTTCCATGATTTTATGACACTTTAAATTGACTTCTTAGAGCTTGTTTTCTCTAGTAAAATCGTGGGCTTCTTGCTTGTAGGGAAAGAATTCTAATTTAATTCCTAGTCATATAGTACTTCTTTAGGTTTATTATGTCATGGCCTTACTTTGGGCTTTAACTTGATTTGAGTTTCATTTACCTTATTGGACTTTACTTTATCATATAGAGCTTTCTTTGTATCACTTGGACTTGTCCACATTAAATGGAATTAAAACTTCCTTTGTTGGGTTATACTTTGATCCATGAATTCATTGGATCCCTAATGCTTATGTCTTTGGTCCATTGGACCCATACTTCTAATTTACTTAATCATAAACTATTTCATCTGAAATGTCTCGTTTATTAATTATCATAATTCTTCATTAATCATGATACAATATTTAGTGTTGTTATAGACATCTCCGTAAAGGATAGGACAAAAAGGTCACAAAATCAAGCCAATCAAAAGGCATATCAACCATACCACCACACTAAGGTAGTATGCTGAGTCTACAAGCAGGTCATGCCCCATACTATAAATAAAGAGGCCAAGACCCAGGTACATTCATCTTATCTATTATACTAAAACACATTACTCAAATATCGATTTGAGCGTCGAAGTGCTTTATAAGTATTTCTTCTTGTTATAATCAAAATACACTTCAACGGTATTGGAGATCCTACCTGGAAACATTATCGCGTATAATAAAGTAGAGATCTCGTTATGTCCAACCTTTGCAATTGCATCAAGCAATACCTATTAGGACAAAATTCAACTACGGGTATGCATGGGTCGAATTGAACTAATTTTTTTGAAAAATCGAATCGAATTTGTTTAAATGGTTCGGTTTGAAACCGATTCGGTTCCAAAATAATTCAGTTCGGTTGGAAACAGATCGGTTTGGTTCGGAACAGATTCGGGTCGACCTTACTCTGAAAAGGAAAGAAATTAAAAATTAAAGAAATAAAGTAATAAAAATCAGTTTGGTTCGTTTCGAAAACAGTTCGGTTTATGAACTGATTCTTTAAAAACCATTTTCGGTTCATGAACTGGTTCTTAAAAATCAGTTATTTTAAGTGCAGTTCAATTTAGTTCAAAGTTCAGTTTAATTTTTTAGTTATTTTGTACGTCCTTAAATTTAACCATGTATGATTTGGCCCAAATTCTTTTAATCTAATAAGAAACATTGCTATAGCACTGAGTGTATCAAATAATTGAACTAGATGGATGATATAGAACATATTCCATTCGATTATCATGCTAGTGTATCAATAAATAATACAAAAGTGGATCAGATGCTTAATAAAATATTCACAATTAAAATTTGAGGAGGGATATTCTCACTATCAAAAATTTTCACTACCAACTTACTACCTATTTATCACCATTAGACTAACATTTTCTCTCTCTTTCAAAACTTTTTAACATTCTCTCTTTTTGATCTAATGGTGATGTGATGGGTAGTAAGCTAGTAGTAAGAATTTTTAGTAGTTAAAATATCCTCACTCTTAAAAATTTTGAAATTGAAACTATGTTTTCTAAAAGGGATTATAACTTCTTACATTATCAACAAACCCCTAGCTACGACTACATCTGTTAAAAATTGAGTGCCAGTTCCTTTGAAAGGATATTAAATTCTCGAATCTTAATGGGGCACAACATATTTGTTCAGGCATTATCCATGGTCTCTTATGAACTTCCTACGGAGACAAAACAGAATAATACAAGAATATTAAGTGGTCCATATAATTCAGGCAAGACTAATTCATCCTTCATCTAATTGCTCGTTGTCGATACTGTGTTAATTCATAGGACTTAACCCAAAACATTGCATGCTTCTGGGCCTCTAGCACATCAACTGCATAATTGGAAGATCCCTGCAGCAGAAATTAAGAATTAGGTTGTTTTAGTTTAAAAAATTCGAAGAGAAAATAATGAGAAGTTAAAAATATTTTTATAGTAAATATTATAGAATAATATAAATCTGTAAAGAACCACTTCAACCCAAAATTTTAAGGTGTTGGGTGAGGGCCTTTTTAATGATTTATATTATTCTCTAACACACACCCTTACGCAAGAGTCCTTTGGGATAGAAGCGTGGAAATTGCATAGGCCCAATTTTTGGTTTACCTTTTGTGCTTTTTATTTTAATTCCACTTTAAAGTGGGAGGTGGTAAGGATCGAATTTGTGACTTTGTAGTCACTCAAACTCTGATACCATGTAAAGAACCACTTCAACCCAAAACCTTAAGGTGTTGGGTGAGGGTCTTTTTAATGATTTATATTATTCTCTAACAAAATTATTAAAAAAGACCCCTATATAGTACCTTAAGATTTTTGGTTAAATTGGTTCTTTACATGCCATCAGAGCTTGAGTGACTACAAGGTCACGAGTTCGATCCTCACCGCTCCCACTTTCAAGTATTATAAAATAAATACAAGATAAAACAAAAAAATGGGCCTGTGTAATATCCATGCTTCAAGCCCAAAGAATTTTTGCGCGAGGGGATGTGTTAGAGAATAATATAACCCAGTGTTTAAAAACCCAGCCCGGACATCGACCCGGTCGAGGTCAGGGGTTATGGTGTCACGAGTTCAATCGGGGGGTCACGGGGTCACTGCGCTGACCCGACTTTATATATTTAAAAAATATAAATACATATATCATATATGAAAATATTAAAAAATAAACAACCAATCATCAAAGATTCAAAATATACTTAACATAATTCACCAATTACAACCACAAGTCAATATTACACAACCTAATTAAAGTATCAAGATACCAAAATACAAAACTCATATTCTAATAGAGTTAATTAAAAGTAATATCATCAAATTCAGGCTCTCCTTGTCCTTCTCCACCATTGCCATCCAAACCTTGAAGAACATTGCTTTCATTTTGGGGTACAATAGCCATATGAGGTTCATCATCTACATCATCCTCATCTAAATTCAATTCATCTGTGATAACACATTAAATGCAAGTCAATAAATAATATAACGTGATCAAATCATCAAATTAAACAATAGAATTATCATGAAGAAACATACCAATACCATCTATAATTGGTTTAATGGTATTATTCCTCAAATATCTTGCCTCTTCATCGGTTAATAATGGTGGTGACTCCTCAAAAACCCAACTAGTAGAATGATCATCCATTGTTTCCAAATTAATTGGGTCATAATTTTGGTGCTTCAATTGATTCCTATTTTTTCCAATATTCAACATCAACAAATATAAACATAAATTTGTCTAAAAGAAAATAAACAATCAATGTATGTATAATTTTTTTTCTGGAAACATGTACATATAAATTATAATACCTTTGTTGTAGTCTTAGGTTGTATCGAACATATACAAGATCATTCAACCTTTTATGCTCTACCCGATTTCTCCTATTTGAATGGATATGCCCAAATGCACTCCAATTTCGCTCACAACCGAAAGCACTACAAGTTTGGCTTAAGATACGAATAGCCAATTGTCTCAAGTTTGGTGCACCAAAACTATAAAGTTCCCACCATTTATCTGAAACATTGTAAGCAATAAAATATATTAGTATTCAATCATTCAACTATAACAAGAATTAAAGGTACATACTAATCATAAATTATTTTACCAGGCATAACTTTAGTTCGTTCCCGAATAGCTATGATCCTTCCAAAATCACCATCAGATTCATTGAAAGTTCTCAGCTCAGATTTTAACTTGGACAATAATTCCTCATCCTTATGAGCATACCTCTCTATAACATCTAAAAGACCAGAAGTTGTCAATGCATGTTTATTGAATTCTTCAACATTGAAATGACATGCTGGATTTAACCAATATCCCGCAGCATGCAATTTTTTACGAAGCTGAGTATCCCACCGACTATCCAGGATGTTCAAGTACGACTTCGCCTTCTTTTTCTTTCTTTGAAAACGCCTAACCATATCTTCTCTTTCTTTATAAAAGGCTTGATAAAGATAACCCATAGAAGGCTTGTCTTCACTATCAACAAGACGCAACAAGCGTATAAGTGGTTCAGTAACTTTCACAATGTCAGCACATTCTTTCCAAAAGCTAGAATCTAAGACTAAATCCACAAATTTTCTAGCCTTCAAATCCTTAGAATATGCTGAACTTGTCCACTCTCTTGAAGTTACCATTGCTCTTATTGGATCTTTTTGAGCTAATATGCTTTGCAAAGCAATAAAATTAGTAGTAAAGCGAGTTGGAGCTGGATGAAGAATTTCTCTACCACCTGTGAATTTTCTCATCAACGGTAAAGGATGACAATGGTTATATACGTACTTGGTAATTGATGAAACATGTGCCACGGTTGCACCCACTTCCTCTAACTTGCCAATATCTTGCAACATCAGATTAATACAATGAGCAGCACAGGGAGACCAAAATATTGTGGGAAACTCAACCTCCAATAACCTTCCAGCAGCAGCATAATTACAAGCATTATCAGTCACGATTGAACAACATTTTCAGGCCCAACAAATAGAACAATTTCTTTGAATAGATTAAATAATAAATCAGCAGTTTTGGAAGCATGAGAGGCATCCATAGACTTCAAGAAAACAGTTCCTTTAGGACAATAAACAAGAAAGTTGATAAGAGTTTGCATAGTCCGATCAGTCCAACCATCAGCCATAATGGTGCATCCAGTTTGCCGCCAAGCATTACGATAGTTCTCAACAAGACTATGAACATCATCAACCCAACTATCTAGCAATAGACCACACAACATATACATTGATGGAGCTTTAAAACCTGCACCCAAACTACACACAATACTGGCATACTCTTGCATGGCTCAACATGCCCTTTTTCTCCCGCCAAATGATTTTTTAACTAATTAATACCATCTCCTTTAATAGTCTTGTTACAATACTGGCATACTAAAAAAGTTTTTCCATTCTCCATAACTTGGATCTTGTTTTCCCCTACAATTTGGTTTGGAGGAATTTTGGGACGACACATCTTCAGTTGGTGTTGAATTAAGTTCATTGGATGACATCTTGCTGAAAATTAATCCACATCAAATCATTAATAACATAAACAGTTATATAGGCACGATGGAAAGACATAGCCTTGGCTGGTCACATATTTTATTTTTAATTTAATTCCTAAAAGTTATATTACAATTACATTCATATATGCTTCATTCTAATCATTCCATGGTTGTGCAAAGACTTGCTACGTGATGCTTAACATAATAAAACAGAGGACAAATGGGCTTATAGGTTTATTTAATTTGTTCTCTTCTATGTGTAATTGTGTATAACAACAACCAGTGATTGCTTTTCCTACACATTATCTAATCCAAGTTTTTCGTGAGGGAATCACTTTTTTAGCCTGCACTCAACTCAAGTTGAACTTGAAATGCCACCATTGATGGCCAACAAGGGTAGCCGATGCCCAACACAGTAATGCCATCAAATAATTTAAAATAACAATTAGAACAAAAGGGCTATTTCAGGTCAGCCACAAGCTCATCCTCACATTAAATCAATCATCATTTGTCATCTTAATCATGTCATAAAATGTTATCACTATCAAAAAAATCCACTGCATAAATCAAAATAAGGCTGGAACAGCCTTAACCGAAGTATAAAGGGAAGAGGAACAAGTATTTCATAGTTTACCTCTTTCCTTCAAGATCCTTAGCTCACACCCTTTATCTCCACGTCCTTGACTTGAGCGATTCACAACGGTGATTGAAGGATGAAGACGACTAGTCGTCTGGCTAGGAGAGAAGGGAATCAAAGAACGATAGATTTAGGTTTCGAAGATTTTATTTTGTAATAAACGACGTTGTTTTATGCAATTTTCTTTAAAAAAACAAAATACGCAATGACCCCCTTTGACTCCTCTGACCCGGGAGTCACTGAAACCCGAGGGGTTTTGGGGGTCGGAGGGCTTGATGTGCATATAAGGTCCAACTTGTGACCCCAACCCTTAGAGGGGAGGGGTCAGGGTTGACCCGGGTCAACCCGGGGGGCGGGGTGGGTTTTAAAACACTTCTTATCTAGTACCTTAAGATTTTTGGTTGAATTGGTTCTTTACATGATATCAGAGCTTGAGTGACTACAAGGTCACGAGTTCGATCCTCACCGCCCCCACTTTTCAGTGGAATAAAATAAATACAAGGTAAAACAAAAAAATGGGCCTGTGTAATATCCATGCTTCAAGCCCAAAGAGCTCTTGCGTGAGGGAATGTTTAGAGAATAATATAACCATTAAAAAGGCATCACCCAACACTTTAAGATTTTGGGTTGAATTGGTTCTTTACATGGTATCAGAGCTTCATATGTCCCGGGTTCGATCCTCATTGCCTCCACTTTCTCTCGTGAAATTGTTTAGCATAGGTAGGTGAGCTTGTACATTGTTAATCCTTCAAGCTAGGTGGGCCCTTGTGCAAGGGAGCGTGTTAGAATATATAAAATCATTGATGTAACCTCATCTAACAGTGAAATATATAAGTTTAGCAATTTAGACAAGTTTTGACAATGTCGTAACTAAAATAATTATTGAGGCAAACATCACTTAAGTTATTCAGCATCTAAGATTCAGTATGAAGTTATTCTAGGAAGGCAATGAATCAAAGAAGAGTTTAATGTCTCTCATGTTGGAGGAGATAAAATTATCTCTTACACACATAAAAGTATGTGGGATTTTTGACCACTTTAGCCCTTTATTAATAATTATTAACCAAATTACCCTCGATTAGAAACTATTTCGAAAAATTAACCCTTCAAAAAAACATAACACCAATCTGCCCTTGTTTGACCGTTGACCAAGAAACCTACCCGGGTACCCCACTCCATACTCGGGTATTTTTTTGAAAAATCAATTTATAATCAATTTAAATCTTCCACACAAATACGCAAGTGCACGTGTCACAAGTAATAAAGGAATATGTGAGTCCAAGTATCGTTCCCACGGATATAAGTGTTAAGTAATGATTATTTAGGTGAAGAAAGTGAGTAAAATGATTGATTGTGATGGTTGGTTTGGTAAAAAAAAAGACAACTAATAATAAGAAAACAAGAAACTAAAGTAATAGGTATTAAGATGATGGATGAGATATAGGTCAGGATCAATTTCCCTGATACGACAATACTGATCTGATGCTTTAACAATGCTATATCGATGTTTAACTAGTAACCGAACACTAATGTATGCTGGGGCTTTTGGCCAACCTAACATATATACCCAATAACTAATTCCCATATCTCTATGGCCAAACTAATCACTGAATTGTTTAACTTCAAGTTCTAGGTTATGTGGTGTGAATGATCTCTTTACCCACAACTTAATTAAGTTAATTTAACTCGATTAATCCACAGTATTCAACAAGGGTCTGGATTCGGAAACCTCTCGGCCCCAACCTCCTCAATATCACATATGTATCTCTCGACATGCACACATTAATAAGATTAAGCAAACTCGTTGAATAACTAATTAAACATTAACATAAAAAAAGTTTAGGCATACATATCAATGTTACAGCATAGGTACTTTATCACCTAACCTATGGAGCAATTTAGCTCATAATGGAATTAAATAAAATAGAGAAAAGAAAGAAAGAATTCATTGGAAAACAGAAAAGAAGTTGAAAACAATTGTTGCAGGAAGACGTCGTCACTGCCTTGCTCCAGCACTGCTCCTGCGCTGCTCTTCCTCTTCGAAGAACCTCACTATCTCCCTCTAAAACTCTCCTCCTTGCTTCTGACCTTCTGAACCTTGAACCTCTCTAACTGTGTTTCGAACTGTATTTTAACTCGTGGAGGAGCTCTTCTTAAATAGGAAAAATGGTTGGGCTTTGGGCTTTAGGAATTAAGAGTGGAGATTCATGAATCCGGTTGTTGCAGCCTAATCGTATCCTTGATTCTTGGGCTGTTGTCACTTGCTTGGATAGAATCTTGATCTTCTTAGAATCCTTGTGCCAATGTTGTTGTTGACCGAGTATGAGCTGAGTTTGTTGTCCTTGATTCTTGGAATTTTCGGATTTGTTGGCACTTATTTGGATAAGTTCTTTATCTTCTTGGATTTCTTGTGCCAATGTTGTTGACCGAATCAAGGTTGTTGTCCTTGTTCTTTAGGATTTGGATAAGATTCAATCTTTGAATTTGTCTTTGACTCTTGTGATTTCTGAATTAAATCTTCAGAAACTTCCCTTGCTTGCTGGTGCATTGTTAGGGATTAACTAACTTTTGAATTTCAAAAGTTCGGTTGACTTTTTGTCCACGCTGTCATGCTGTAGCGCTTGCTATATCATTACTTCGTCAGCTTCTCTGCTACAGCATTCCTACGTCAATTTTTCCTGCAGAGACAAACACTTAACAAGTCATCTTTTCTTACACAAAATCAAGGAATATTATCTCATTTTTCATACTTAGTCATCTCAAAGCACTTAATCATGAATATGCAACATTTAGCTCAATTATCATGCAATTAAGACACTTTATATGGAATTTATGCAACAAATTCATCATAAAAATAATAAATTAACTCTCATTTGGGAGAGTTATCACACTCCAAACTCAAAACATTGCTCGTCCCCGAGTAACAAAGAAGAAATTGATTGATTGGTCTGCATGAATTCGGCACCATAATTGCAGCAATGACTATTACTAAGATGAGCATTTTTTATGTAGCATTCCAACAACAATGTACACGTGAGAGTTGCTTTTCAACCTTAGCCTTCACTTCCACTTTGGGCCTTGTTAGCTTATCTTCTCTTGGCTTCTTGCTTCTGGAGTATTGAGTGTGTGTGTGGGAAGAACTTCCTTGTTGGCTTGATCCACTTGAGAGCATCAAACTAAGAATCATAAGACTTAGTTGTTGTATCCATACTTTGCCAAACTTGAATCAAAACCCATGTGTAGAGAGTTGAAGGACGAGTCTCCACCTTGCTTGCTTTTCTTTTGACTTTTGCTCCCTCTTTTATTTTTGTGAGCTTTGCTCATGTGCATTGGCACTTTTTTTATTTTTGTCTTTTTGACTTTGATTTTTCTTTTTGTGAGGGGCTTTTTGCAACAAATTCTGAAAAAATAATAAATTAATAAAACTGATATGGGTTATCAGGTATGGAACAAATTATTTTCTTTTTCAACGGTCAAATATCAGGTATCTAACTTTGACTTTGATTTTTCTTTTCTTTTTGCAACAAATTCATCATAAAAATAATAAATTAACTCTCATTTGGGAGAGTTATCAGGTATGGAAAGGGGTACCTGGGTATTGTTCTTAAATCTGAAAATATCTTGAATTATTTACCCGGGTAGGTATGGTGGTACCCGGGCATATATCGGCTAGAAACCCCGATATCAAGGGTTTCGGCCATTGTTGCGAGTTAAAGTTT